TAGACTCGCATAGTATTCATGTTAAGACAGTCACCCCCTGCCCCAAGGCAGGGCCGCTTGGGATGCTAAGTCCTGTGCCCCTGCCTGTCTTCTCCCCTGGAGTTTTGGAAATTCTGCAACCCCCTTTCCAAAGGCAGCATTGCCCAGGTGGCGTTTGGAGGCCTGGCATGCGACCCCCTGCTCCTCCATGCCCAACGATGCACTGCTTACCTGCACCTCCCCTTTCCAGCACACCCAGCCTGGCTCCCAGGTCAGAGCAATCCCTTTCTACCTCTAAGGAAACATATATGGCACAGCAAAATCCAAAGGAAAAGGCCCTTCCATTTCAATGCCCCCCCGTATGCTTCCAGATCTGCTCTGACTGTCACTGGTCAGCAAAGATGCCAATTGTCTTCAGACAGTCCGGCTCCTCTCCACATTTCACTTTTAAACCATCATCTACTCACGATGGAAAAAAAGGATCAGCCACAAAACACTCAAACAAAAAAAAGGGAAAAAAGAAGATATGTGACTACAGATCTGAATTATTCACAAGCCACCCAGCACACCTACACATACAGTTTGCTGTCTTGGCTGATTTTGGTGGGGATTTTTTGTTTGTTTGTTTCGTTTTGGTTTTTTTAGAGGTTCTGTGGCTTCTGTTTGTCTTCGTGGGTTTTTTTGGAAGGCAGATCACACTGCCCCAAGCACCACGTCAGCAACAAGGCCCAGCATGCGACACCACTCAGCAACTCACCCAGCATGGGTTCACCCCCCTGGGTCCAATGGCTTTTACATAAGCTAGAACAGTTAGAGGGAGATGCAATTGACAGAGCCAGGATGTGGGCTGAAGAGCAAGAAGCATCTCCTTATTTTCAAGGTCCAGAGAAAATAAACCAAAAACGACAACCCAAAGCAACCCCCCAAAACACACCTTATTATTCGCATTTGCCTATGAACTAATTCAACACCACTGCTTGCTTTAACTCAAATCATACTCCAATTCCCTCACAACTTCAGGCTACCTGTAAATAAAGAATGCTCCAACATATCGCCAATGGGGGGGGGGGGGGATGGAGGGTGTGTGTAAAACAAGCACATTTCTAGAGCACTGCTCTAGAATCAGAGTGCATTTTGATTTCATGCAGATTTATACACCAAAGCACCTTTCCCATGGCCCCCACAAGCCCCAGAGCAAATCCAGCGGAGCAGGGAGGACACAGGTTAGGAGGCAGTACCTGTATACATACAAAGTAAAACAGATGCTGCTGGAAAACACCACCAATAAAACCACAACTTTAGAGGCGACAGCTTTAAAAAGCACTGCAACTAGTCATATTCCAGAAGAGGGAGATTATGCTTTTTTCATTAGGGGGAAGAGAGAGAGGAAAATAATTGCTCTCAAGAATAGCTCCAAAACACAAAGTCTGGGAATCACTTCTAGGTGAGACACTTGAACAAAGAAGATGGAGTATCCCTCTCTTCAGGGAGGAATGCTTCCTGCTAGAGACAGGGCTCCCATACAAGAAGCGCTTTTCATACAGGGCTACGGAGACCAACACCCCCATTGTTTACCAGCAGGAGCTTTCCTGCATTCAGAGAGGCTGCAGCACAGGCCAGGTTTTGGGGGTGGAGGGTGGAAGTGGGGGAGGACGGGACACCTGCAGTCTTTCAGGCATCTCTATCTGCATTTACAAATAGCCCCAAGGAAGGGGGAGCTGCAGGATAAAGGGAATTAGGAAAAAAAAAAACAAAACCTGCAGTGCCATTCAAAGGAATCAGAACAAGGATAAGGACGGGTCAGGGCCTTTTCAACAATGGCACTGCCAATGCTCGGGGCCAAAACCCAAAAAGCAGAGAGAAAAGGCACAGACAAAGGGGGATGTAACACCACCACCACCCGCCCTCCCATCTCAGAATAGGGTTATTTTAAGCCTGTCTCCTTGGAGCTACCCTAATATTTTCTTTCATGACTCAAATCACCAGAGGAGTTAGAATAGAAGAAAGGAGAAAAAAAAAAAAAAGAAAAAAAAAAAGAAATAGGGACAGAGCTAAGGCTAACATCTAGAAGGCGCCAAGCTCCAAAAGAGATGAAAGGCAAGCTAGGCTGTGCCTTACCTGGAAAAGTGTGTGGGTTGGGTGACCCTCTTTTAAGGCACTTTGAACAGAGGACGTGCACAGTGTAGTACAGGCCCGGCCATTCCTGGAGCAGGACATTCAGTTCTTCCACTAAAGGGGTAATAGCTTGCCAAGCTGTCCAGATATTTGGTAGGGATGCATGACTAGCGATAGACAGGGTATCTGGCTGCAGAGCTCCCCTGGCAGGCCGGTAACTCACCACCACGGGCACCTTTCCCCGGTAGGCATAGATCTGGTATTTGCCATCTGACCGCTGAACCACGTGGCTGTTAATCTGGACGCTGTAGCGTGCAAACAAGCCGGGTGGGAAAATGAATGGAAAGCTATATTCAATCTGCAGCTGCTCGACCACGAAGGACTGTCCGCTCAGATTGGCGCCGTTGATCCATGCCTCTGCATGGGGCACCTCATTTTTCACGTAGCAAGGAAACTTGTACCAAGCGGCTGCCCCATTTAGGGGCTTGCATTTAGGTTTGTTGACACAGTAACAGAGCCCCATCTTCTCCAGCAACTCCAGGATGAGCTGCAGATCCTCCCGGCTCTGGATGTGGGGCTTAAGGAGGAGACGGATAACGTGGGCAGGGAGGAGGCCGTGCAGCAGGAAGCCCTCCACATAATGATGGAGCTGAGTGGCTCTCAGTTCATCAATGTGGGTGTCGCTGAGCAGTTTCTGGAGCAGCACGGTGGCATCCCGCTGGCAGAAGACGTTGAGGATGTCAATGAGCCGTGGCAGGTTGTGAAACACATACTCCCGCAAGGTGAGATGCTCCTCGAAATAGAGCAGTTTCCCACTCTCGTGCAGGTAGGACAGGGCACTCTGGAGCCGATCTTCTGTCAGCCCCGCCTGCAAGCCCAACCGAGCCGAGTCCCACCAGCTAAGCCACAACTGCTGAGCTTGTGGCTGGAAGTGCAGCTCCTCCAGCACTTGCCAGGATTTGGGCAACACCCGGTGCAGGTTCGGGAAGATATCCCGGTGCTCAGCCACCGAGAGGAGCTTGTCCCGCAGGCGACGCACCTGGCAACGGTCCCGGCAGCTGAAAGGCAGCACTGGAGAGAGGATCTGTGGGCGGTGGTTGAGAAGGTACTGAAACTGGGCTTTCTTTCGCCTCAAGTTCTTGTCCGAGACCCCATAAAAGGCAGCGTGCGGGCTGGAGCAGCGCAGGTCAAAATCCTGTCCCAGAGCCTCATCTACCTGCTGGACCAAGCTCTGGAGTCCCTCAGCATCCCTCTTCTCCTGCTGAGCGATCTGGTGATGGATGTCCAGGCACTTTTCTTCCAACTCCCGCTCCGCACAGAGGTCAGCATGGGTTCCCACCATGCACACCACGGCATGGGGCACCTTGGAACCGAGCCAGTGCAAGAAATAGCCCACAGAGGGGTAGAAGTGCTGAGGGACGTAGGCACTCAAATTCACCACCAGCACATACAGGGCTCCGGGAGACAGAAAGAAAGACTGGATCACATCATAGCTCGGGTCTCCTGCCAGCTCGTACACGATGAATGTCAGGCCCCTCTCTGCATCCGCTGTCCAGTCCATCACCTCAATGCCCTTGCTGCCTCCTGACAGTCCCAGTCCTGATGGTACCTGGGGGGCATTTGGTGGCAGTGACGGTGCAGGGCATGGTGTTTCCCCTTTCAGTCGGTGAGAGGGCACATGAGAAGAGATGTCCTGCCGCTCAACAGGGAGATGTTCCAGCTGCTGCACAGCAGGTACTCGTGCTGAGGAAGCGTCCTGAGGCTCTGGGAAGGGGCAACACCCAACTGGCACTCTCCCGATGTCCTGCTGCTGCCCAGAGCACCCTCTGGGATGGGTGCTTCCTGCTTCCAGGCTTCCCACATCCTCCCTCTGCCCATCCTCCTCCATGAGGCATCGTCTCAGCAGGGTCTTTCCCGCATCCTTTAGGCCCATAAGGACCAGCTTGAGGCGGGGTTTGAGGGCAGGCTGGGAGTGGGCCAGCTCCTGTTGATAGGCTGCAATGTAGGGGATGCCTTTCATGCACACCTCATAGGGGGGCTGGATGAGGGGGTTGTCTTTGATCTTCCACAGGGTGACGCGGGAAAGCTGCCCAAAGCCCTCAGGCAGGATGGCAATCTGGTTGCCTTGCAGGACCAGCTCCTCCAGGCTGTGGAGGAGCACAATGGAGTCAGGCAGGTAGCGGATGCGGTTGTTGTCCAGCCAGAGGGTGCGGAGCTGGCGGAGCTGGCAGAGGTGAGGGGGCAGCAGGGTGAGCTGGTTGCGGCTCAGGTAGAGCTCCTCCAGACTGGGCAGCGCCAAGATGGCAGCGGGGAACTCCCCCAGCAAATTGGAGGAGAGGTTCAGCATCTTGAGCCGCTGCAGGCTGCCAAAGCTGGCGGGCAGGGCCTGCAGCCGGTTGCTGTCCAGCATGAGGCTCTCAAGGGCGCTCAGTTGGCAGAGGCCCTCGGGCAGAGCCGCCAGCCCAGTGCCACTCAGCCAGAGGATCTTGAGGCGGCGGAGGGCGGCGATGCCCTCAGGCAGGGCCCCGAGGTGACGGTTGCCAGAACAGTCGAGCTCCTCCAAGGCGGCCAGCTCCAGCAGCGGGGTGGGGAAGGAGGGCAGCAGGTTGTGGTCGACGTCGAGGGCACG